GAGAAGCTCGGTCATCCGGGAGGGGCTTGGATTAGACCTCCTCCACATCGAGAGGAGCCAGTTGAGGTGGCTAAAGCATCTTATCAGGATGCCTCCAGGACGCATCCCTGAGGAGGGTTTCGGAGCACGTCCAACCGGCAGGAGACCCAAAACACACTGGAGGGACTTGGTCAAAAATTACCCAGAATACACCGTGGTATTTTCAAAAGGACGACGATCATCCATCGATCGATTCATTGATCCATCGATGGATGGATGGATGCTATATTTAGCTCTGTTGCAGTTCACTTTCACAAAATTCAGCCAAAACTTGGAATTTTGTTTTTCCAGTATTTTATTAGTCTGCAAACTCTAAGATGTTTTGTAAAAGTTTGTGAATGAGAGAGCAGCAACAGGAGGAGTGGGGCTTTGGCAGCCTAGAGTGTAGACTAGCGGTTCTCAATAGCTGGTCCTGGTCTGCGGGCCCCGTTTGTGGCCCCTGAATCCCGTGCGCAATCACCCCTCCCCCAACCCCCGATGGCCGACGAGGAGGTATAGGATAGAGCTGAGGAAAATAATCAAATAATCAATGCATGAGAAAAGGGAATAAACGATTCTGCATGTACACCATAATCAATCATAGTGGAATGTGGTTTTGCTCTTTTAACGGCAGCACCAGCGTAGCATCCACATCTGTCAGAGTGGGTGTCACTGACCCCGCCCCCTCCCCAAGATCAGATCTCCCGACATCACAAGACTCGGTCTGACTGATCGCGTCCAGTAGAAGTAGAAATCAATCAATCTATCTATCTATCTCTATATCTATCTCTATATCTATCTCTATATCTATCTATCTATCTATCTATCTATCTCTCTGTCTCTCTGTCTCTCTGTCTCTCTCTGTCTCTCTCTGTCTCTCTGTCTCTCTGTCTCTCTCACTCTCTCACTCTCTCACTCACTCACTCACTCACTCACTCACTCACTCACTCACTCACTCATAATTTATGGCTGAAATCCAACAGAACTGGTCGTGCTGATTCGGTTTGGGTTCGGTCTCAGGTTACACCTCCAGCGCGAGAGAGAGAGAGACATTGTCTGCTCACACAAGAGAGGATGGGAGGACGCTCCTCCAAACACGAATTATTCAATTTCATTATTATTTCTACTGGACGCGCTCAGTCAGACCGAGTCTTGTGATGTCGGGGGATCTGATCTTGGGGAGGGGGCGGGGTCAGTGACGGTGGCTGCAGCTTAATTATCTGTCTCTTTTATTTAGGGACACGGAGAAGTTAAAAGGAGAGAGAAATAAAAGTTAGAAGTTTTTGTTCCACTTTATTCTTTTGTTTCATGATGATAAACTGATGTTAAATCCAGCATTTCAAATCGATTTAAATTGTTGACCCAATAATTGTAACAGGTGAGACAAGAGAAGATTCACACCTGTAGTGTAGAAACAGCAGCGGTGTGCATGCACTGTGCTGTAATATTGCAGGCTGGTGTAATGAACCTCCAGCAAACAGACAGTTTTTTCATCAAGCTATTTTGGTTAATTTGGTCTTATTTACAAATCTGCACCATTTGTTTTTCAAGCATTTTCAAGGACCTAATACAGAAATCAAGCATTTTCCATACCTTGAAAACACATGATTGAAATTCAAGCATTTTCAAGGATTTCAAGCACCTGTACGAACCCTGTAACCTGAAGAGGGCACCACAGTGATGGTTTTAGGCTGAATATTTAGATTTTAAATGAAATGCACTAAAATGCCTAAAGAATGACTAACAGAGGTAGAAAGTAACAAATTACATTTACTCACATTACTGTAATTGAGTAGCTTTTTTGTATATTTATACATTTTAAGTCGTTTTTAAAATCTGTACTTTTACTTTTACTTGAGTAAGTTTTTAAAAATGAATAGTAATTCGCTACATTTTAAATCAAATCGGTTACTGAGTAAAAATAAATTGTAGGCTTAATAAATTAAAAATATTACGTGTAGCAGCGGCGGAACAGAAAGAGACACCTGCAGCCATTTTTACCGCAGTTTTGCACAAAAACATCAGTTCAGTCCCTGTGATCCACTCGCTGTTGACCTTCTCTCTCCCTCCTCTCCTGTGGGTTGGAACCCGCATCTTCGCGCACCGGTGTGACGTCATCAGATATCTGCTCGGTTCGGTAGCCAGACTCGGTTCCGTGTTTGAAATGTGTTTCCCTACCGCTCCGCACGGAAGTGGCAAAATAACGTTTAGCGCTCATAACAAGCGGATTATCAGCGCTTTGCTCATAAAACAGAAGACCTGCAGGCCTCTGTGAGTTAAAACATCCTGATGCTGTTCAGGTGTAAACATTGTGCTCCATCCCTGTGTTTGAACTCAAGCCTGGTTTATGCTTCTCCGTCAGCTCCGCAAGGGACAGACACGCACGGATTGACTGAAGCGTTTTGCTCTTTTACTTCTCCGTCTCCTGGGGAGTGTTGCAAAGCAATTGCCCGGCAGGACCACAGAGGGCGTAAAGCTGTTCTGTGGTCTCATGTCATGTATCGGTCTAATATCGTGTGTTTATATTGTGCTTTTTGTGTATATAAGAGACTTTTAACACGGACATATTTGTCTCTCATTCTCCTCCATCTCTTCATGCGCTCCCCACCTCTAAACCCATGTTTCCTGTCATTTCCGTCCACAAATAAAACGCTTGCTGCGCATCTTTTCACTCCTCCAGTCACGGCAGGATGAAACGTTCATATTTTTAGTTTTTTCGCGAGGTATTCTTCAAGCTTCTCCGTGTCTGCCGCTAGTTAAACTCGGCTCTCTTTGCAATGGCGGCGCTGTAAACAACAGCGGCGTCCTGACCAATCACAAGCTTGCGTAATCCGTCTCGTTCGATGGATGTTTAAAAAAGTGGGCTCGACTCCGTACGTACTTGCGTGCCTGCCGGATCCCTACGCAAGGACGGATAATGGCGTTGCGTGTCTCCGCACTGACGCAGACGGAGAAGCATAAATCAGGCTTCAGAAGTTGCTTCTTGATGCCACAGATATGTGATGATTTAGCTTGTTTCTTTATTTTACTCCAGAATAAGAGATTCAATTATTACAAAAGTAGTTCAATGTAGTTAAATTAGTCATGGTGTGTGTGTGTGTGTGTGTGTGTGTTACACATATAGGACTGCATGAGACAGCGTGGTTTCATCAAATCCATGCATCTTATATCTTGGCTGAAGTAATGGCTCAGGAAAATAACTTATATTTCATAAATAATGACATCTCTGCAGTGTCTATGATAATGTTTTATCTTATATTGGACCTATCTTTGGTCTGTCCTTTGGTTTTAGGAGGATTGGCATGAACAAACTGATTTCAGTGGTGAAGGGGTAAAGGTATTGGCTCGGCATTAAAATTGTAGAAATGCATCTATATAAACATGTACTGGGTTCAGTTTTTTATTTTGTTAAGGACTTTTGTCATAAATCATTACAGAAAATCCAAATCCTCTCCTCCAGACAGTGAAGAACTGTGTTTCGCATACGTCATTCCAGCACGTAAAACAAGCTAGCTGCAGATGCTAGTATTGTGAATCACTTTTATTTGTTTACTTTCATGCTCCTAATTATTACGTAAAATTGCGTTTACAGCTGCAGCAAAAGGTCTGAGCCATGTGTCTGTGTCCTACACGCATTTCTAAATAACAGGTCTGATCTGAAATAATAACATACATCTATAAATCCATCTAGAACTGCACTCTAGACGAGTCCCGTTAGCACGACTGCAGCAACACTGCTAACCGTGTTCGCTCTGATAAGGAAAGAACAAGTCCTTTGGGAAAGCTACGACACACACACACACACACACACACACACACACACACACACACATACAGATATAATCTAAAAGATGATCTCTATATTTCAACATTAGAACCTCCATGACATCCTGGATTAGTGCAAACAACGAGTTGAGCTAAGGAGTTACTCCAGCATCAGGAAGATTTATTCTGGTAAATTGTCGGTTAAATATTTTCGGTTGAACTTCTCCGGTAATCCAATATCCGTTCTCGTCGCCGTATCCCAGAGAAAAAACAAATCTGACCGACTAGTAGAGGCTTCAGAAGCTACATCTGATTGATGACACATTGTTCTCTGCTATTATGCTAACGCAGAAACACCGGAGTCAGGCGATGTTTACTACAGCTGTTTCAGTGAGTGAGTGAACCCACTACCAAGGATGAACTCTAACTTTAAAAATCAGCTGCTCTAAATAAGCATGAAGGTCAGAGAGGAGCTCTAGGATGGACATGGATAAAGGAACTGTAATGTAGAGGTAAAGTAGGGCAGGGCCAACGTTAGCAGCTGTCATACGGTCCATTTGACATGTTTGACTTTCATTTAGCTTGTTATGTGACAGGTTAGAGCACCGTCTCATGTTAGAGTTTTGTCATGAGAACATTGAGATACCTCACATACTGATGGCATCTAAAAATGAACATTTTTCTTTCAAAATAAAGAATAATTTTAATCACAAATGAAACGTACAATCCTAGAAAAACCTCGTCCAATCAATGTGCACGCCCTGTTCTCACTGATTGGATAGAAATCCTTCCATCAAACTGTGTGTGTGTCCGTGTGTGTGCGTGCACACACGAGCGTGTTGTGAACTGGTGTTGTGGTTTTGCACTGATGTAACCATCTTTATGCTGACAAAAATGTAACTAAGTAACTTTTACTTTGAGTACATTTTATTTACGATACTTTTTATTTTTACTTGAGTAAAAATTTAGGCAAGTACCTTTACTTGTACTTGAGTAAAAACTTATCAAAGTACTGGTACTCGTACTTAAGTAGGAAATTTTAGTACTCTTTCCACCTCTGATGACTACACGTCTACAGATTAATTAGACACTCATTTGTTTTTATCAGCAAAATCAAGTTGTTTTAGGAGTGACTCGCTCTTTAAGGAAATGTGAATGTGAAATTCAGCAGCTATGTTTACTGTGTCGTGTGAAACAATGGAGTTGACTGAACTAACCCATCAATAATGAGGTTCTCATATGCAGCCTTCTTGTCACACACAGGACAGATCCAAGAAGGCTTCTTCTCATTCATCTGCAGGTAGAGAGCAGCATCAAAGCACTGGAGGTGGGAGCATGTCACCGCTCTGCACGGCACCGTCAGTCGCATCTTACCCAGCTTCAAGACAAAACAGAACAGCAGTCAGACAACTCAAGCTCATCATGTGTTCAGCAATGGTACAAAACAAAGCAGATGCTGTCATCTGCACAAAGACAGAAAGCAGCTAGCTGAGTTTGGTTGGGCTGCTGACTTTCCCCACAGCAGCAGGATTTGTAAGAAGACATCTGTTAGACCGAGGGACTCCCAGGAGTACAGCTGCAGTCCAAAGGCATCTAGTCCTGATAAAACTTGCCGGACTGAGGTGTAACGCATGAGTCAGCATGTAGACTCTCACCAACTCAGCGTATAACCCTCTGCCAATGGTGATATAATCCATCTATCCTTAGTAAATGGATACATACCACAGGATTTTAAGGTTGCTGTAATCAAACCTTTACTTAAGAAACCTTCTCTGGATCCAGATGACCCAATGACTTATAGATCAATATCTAACCTTCCATTTTAATCCAAAGTCCTGGAGAAAATAATGGCCATCCAAGTATGTGAGCATTTAAACACTAATGCTCTGTTTGAGGAATTTCAGTCTGGTTTTAGAGAGTATCACAGCACTGAAACTGTGTTAGTGAGAGTTACAAATGATATTCTCATGGCCTCAGATAAGAATCTTGTAAATCTTGTGTCTGTTCTAGTCTTGTTAGATCTCAGTGCTGCCTTTGACACAGCTGATCACAATGTTCTTTTAGAAAGACTTGAACATGTTGTAGGGATCAAAGGAACAGCGCTAGGCTGGTTTGAATCCTACCTGTCTGACAGATTTCATTTTGTAAATGTACATGACAAATCTTCTTCATACTCCAGGGTTACTTGTGGAGTACCACAGGGTTCAGTGCTTGGACCAATTCTTTTTACTATATATATTCTCCCAATTGGTAAAATCATTAGACAGCATGGGATAAACTTCCACTGTTATGCTGACGATACTCAGTTATATTTATCCATTAACCCTGATGAACCTAATTGGTTAGGTAGACTACAGGTTTGTCTTGAGGACATAAAAAATTGGATGACTCTAAACTCTTTGCTTATAAATCAAGACAAGACGGAAGTTCTCATCTTTGGACCAGAAATCCAGAAAAGGAAATTGCTTAGTCAATCACCTGACCTGAATGGCATTACATTAATCTCCGAGAACAAAGTAAGGAACCTTGGTGTTATTTTTGACCAGGACATGTCATTCAAATCCCAGGTTAAACAGGTTTGTAGGATTTCCTTTTTCCACCTTCAGAATATTGCTAAGATTAGCTGCATCCTTTCCAGGAGTGATGCTGAAAAACTAGTTCATGCATTTATTACATCAAGACTGGATTACTGTAATTCATTACTCTCAGCAAGTCCACAGAATGTAGTTAAAGTCTTCAGCTTGTCCAAAATGCTGCAGCTAGAGTTCTGATGAGAATTAAAAAGAGAGATCATATCTCTCCTGTCTTAGCTTCCCTACAATGGCTACCTGTTAAATTCAGAATAGATTTTAAGATCATCCTTCTCACATATAAAGCTCTTAATAATCAAGCTCCATCATACATCAGTGATCTTGACTTGATGCAGTTTGCTGGGTTCCTTATATAGGAAAAAATATTTCTGATTGGCTTAATGAACTGACCTGAATTGGAATTTTTATTATGTGAAGTGCCTTGAGACGACTCTTGTCGTGATTTGGCGCTATATAAATAAACTTGAATTGAATCTGATTGTTCCATACGTTCCTAACAGAGCACTTCGTTCTCAGACTGCAAGTTTACTGGTGGTTCCCAGAATATCTAAAAATAGGATGGGGGGCAGATCTTTTACCTATCAGGCTCCAACTCCCAGCTTTAGTCCGTGAGGCAGACATCTTGTCTACTTTTAAGACTAGGCTTAAAACATTTTTATTTGATAGGGCTTATGGTTAAAATCTGATGTTAGCCTAGATCTGAACAAGTGGGGGAGTAGAGGGAGGTGGAGTGTACAGTCGATAAAGACGGCTCTCCCTTGCCCTGCCTCCAACATGCCTCCATCTAAAAGGTTATCCAGTTATCTCTGTAGTTATGCTGCTATAGGCTTAAGGTTGGTTTATGCTTGACGCGTCCGCGAGGTCCGCACGGCTCCGCGCGGAAAAGTTGCGTCATTTTGCGTCATTTTAACAACCACGCCCCTCCACCGCGTCTCCGCACGGCCCAAGATTTCCGCAACGCGCACCTCGGAAAATTTCTAACCACGCGGACGGTCGGACGCAAAAAAACATGGCGGACCGGCACGGCAGAGGTTCGTAAATACAGACATTTGTATGATTCAGCTCTCAGAGATCACCGTGATCAACATGTTGTTAATAATTCTTGGAGAGAAATAGCTCGCACTGTCGGAAAAGACGAGAACGCTGTTAAAAATGCTGAAATACAATGTTGTAAACAGTGATTTCTACTTCTACTATGGTGTAGTGTTGGATGCATGCTGTAGAGCTCCATGCTGCCCCGTTCAGTTTGGGAGAATATTGGCTCACCGCAGAGACGAGCCGCACAAACCATAAACGCTGCGAGTTGTGAAGCGCGTTCCAGCCGCGAGCTGCATCACCGCGCGGAAAGTGAATGCGTCAAGCATAAACCAAGCTTTAGACTGCTGGAGGACATACTGACCACTTTCGTATGCGTGTGTCTGCTCTGTCTTCTCCATCCCCAGTGAGTCGTGGTGGATGGCTGCTTATACTGAGCCAGGATCCTCTGGAGGTTTCTTCCTGTTAAAAGGGAGTTTTCCTCTCCACTGTCGCTGCATGCTTGCTTAGTATGAGGATTGCTGTAAGGACTCTGACACTAGTCAGTGACTCGATGCAACCTGCTGGGTTCCTTATACAGGATACTTTTTACTGATTGGCTTAATGAACTGACGTGTATTGGAATGTTTACTATGTAAAGGTCCTAGAGACAACTCTGGTCCTGATTTGGCGCTATCTTCTCAGTGGCCTACTGGTAGAGTGTCCGCCCTGGGACTGACTGGGAGATTTGGGTTCAAATCCTCCCTGCTTGACATTCAGCTTTAAGGGGTCAGATTAGGGGGTTTAACCACCAAATAGTTCCCGAGCGTGGCCACAGCTGCAGCTCACCGCTCCCCACGGGGATGGGTCACATGTGGAGATGAATTTCACCAGTGTGTGATGAATTAATGGGATTTTAACTTTATTGTCATGTATGTTTTTGTTTCGTTTTAGTCCACAAAAATGTATTTGTCACACACACAAAAAAAACCTGAAATATTTAGCCACTGAAATTAACACTAGACATTAGACCATTTAGTGACTATTTCACTGATGAATTAATGGGACTTTACCTTTATATAAATAAACTGAATTGAATGTCAAACAGCCAAAATACAAAAGCTGACATTACTTAGGATTTCCACCGGCTCTGACCCTCTAGCTCCCTCTAGTAATGAAAAGTGCAGTGAAACCAGCTGACTGGATCTGCAGATACAAGAGTTCTTTAGCCTTGAGAACACTGTCATGTGAAAAATCCAACAATCAGCCCACCGAATAATCTAATAATTTGTGCCTGCAGGTATGCTTTATTTACCGGACACATGAGCGACACTCGGAGACTCGTTGTTGCAATTTCACTGTCGGGATCCGCTGTCAACTTCTCTTTAACTGCAAAAAATAAAAAATAAAGTGGGGGAAAAAAAGAGAGCAAAGGAAAGTATTTATTAATTAGACCACAAATGTACAAGCTTATTTCCTACACTAGTGTAGATCTTTATAGAAGCAGTTTGTGCTTCAGGACAGCCAACACCAGCGTTCATCTTTTATTTAAGAAGTGCAATTTTATTAATATATAGTAATGGTAGTTTAAATGAAAATTACTTAGTGCTCTGGAGTGATCTGGGTTTCTGATGCCTTTCATCCGTAGCCTCTGCAGGAGCAGTGGTGAAGTCAGCTGCCGTACCAGGTACACGGACATGGAGTAGGTCTGAGGATGAGCAGAACCAAATACTGTTACCTGGACCCTCACTTTCAATAGTCTGAATGTGTGTACTTGTAACGTACAAAAGGGTTTATTTTTCACCATCTAATGGACACAACATAACCTTTCATACACATTCAAGGCTGCACCATCTGTCGGGGCCCAGACGCCCAAAACAACCCTTTGTCCACTTATTGTTTCTCACTGGAGGCATAACGGTTTCCCTCAAGGTTCCTGCACTCTCTGCGTAAAAGCCAGACTGCTGCATTCCTCACTATCTAAGCTCCTAAAGGACTTTACAGTTATAAGTTCCAATAATCATATGTGTTGAATGAACAGGATGTTTAAATCAAATGCTTGAATAATCTGTGCTTAAACCAATGAGGGCTTTGAAATTAATATTGTTCCTACAATGATCCATTTCAGAGCTTATGATCAGTATGTGTTGATTTAACAAGTCAATCATTGTTTACACTCATACACATTACAATAAGATACTCATTAAGGTTAATAATCACCTCACATAAGAGTTTTAACACATTCTCATTCACAAAGTGTTAAAACATCTTTGTATCTGAAGAAGGCGTGGCTTTCTGAGGGATGTTGGTAAATACTCAGAAACGTGTCCAATTCTGATATTTGCCAAACGTGACAAAACTCATAACATTGTGGTTTATTAAAACAAGAATTACTTCTCGATTAATTCAGTTTCTAGCCGACTCTCGAACCGGCCAATTCGGGAACAAGCATTTTTGAAACCATCTTCTCCTTTGACCTCCTGTCAAAGCCTCTCTGCAACGCTGCGGCTGATACCAGACAACTGGCTCTTCTAAGAGCCAAGCAAATATCAACCATAGATGCAAATAAGCATTCCAGCTTCTTGCCTTCACCTGGAGAGATCTCAGACTGGATGGGTCTTATCGGAACCGTCTATGGGTTCCTGATATCAGAGTTCACTCCACCGGCAGTGACCCGCATGAACCCCCCACGAGAACCTCCACACAAAGGGTGCGTAGACTTGGCACAGATTGCGTCTGATGGCTTTTATCAATAACTAACGCTCTAGTTTAGAACATCGACGATATGTACTGGACAATTTGTATCCATAGGCTCATACGTTTTTAAGCCAAAATGGGAGGTGGCCACCACCGCCATTTTAACTGTGTCATAGGTTCCGTCAAGCCCACACAATTCCACAAAAGAGAAAAGAGGTGGAGCTGAGGGTGGGGCTGTAAGGCTGGGATCAAATGACGACACCCGTTGAACTGAAGCGATGTAGCTACAATCTAACCTATTGCTAACGCGGAGGTGGGAGCTAAGCTAACGGAGGTAGCTACGTAGCTACAACCGGAGTTAACTGTGCACAACACCGGAGCTTCTGAGTCACTGCTCTGAGTGCAACATCCGTGTCACTCTTGATGGTGAATAACTATTGTTGGTTCACTCGTATAAATATCTGGGTTTCTGGATTGATGACTCCCTCACCTTCAAACCTCATGTGGAGAATCTGGCGAAGAAGCTGAAATGAAGACTGCGTTTTTATTTTCAAAATAAGTTATGTTTCTCTTTTAATGCAAAGATGCGTCTTGTTAAAACATTTTTTCCTGTCCTGGATTATGGAGATATTTTGTATATGAACGCTTCTGCTAAATGTCTTCAGTCACGACACAGTGTATCATGCTGCTCTAAGGTTTATTACTAACCGTAAATATTCGACTCATCATTGTGAGTTGTACTCTCAGATGGGATGGCTCTTTTTGACCATCAGTAGGAAGTCAAATTTTTTCAGATTTATTTATTTATTTATTTTTCAGATTTTATTTAAGGCACTACTTGGTCTGCTACCTTCCTATATAACTTCCCTACTTAAAATGAAAATTGCAGGTCGTTATTCTCTTAGTCTACAAGACACTTTGCTGCTTTCTGTCCCATTTGTACGTACTGAACTTGGAAAGAGAGCTTTAGCCCATTCAGCGCCATCAGCTTGGAATGAGTTGCAGGAAAAATGGAAGATGACAGAGTTTATTTCATTGAATGTTTTTAAATCTAAACTAAGAAATCTCGAGAGAGCAACTCAATAACATGCAACTGTTTTATTTAGACTGTTTTTATTTTTGGGCTTGTTTAAAGTTTTAAATATTTTACTTAACTTTGTTCTTAGAAATTTTATTTTAGATTGTTTTCATACACGTTTAAATTGTAAATTTTGTCTTGTATGTTTGTGTGATGTTTGCTGCAGGACTCCCTTGAAAAAGAGGTTTTAAATCTCAATGGGACTTTTTTTCCTGGGTAAATAAAGGTTAAATAAAAAATAAAATCAGACTCCTTAAAGCTGTACTTCCACCATCTTCTCTTGCGATTTGTAAGTGTCAGGCTCACACCTCAGGGGCAGACTCTGTTTCCTGTGGTAACAGATTAGCTGACGAGGTTGCTAAAGCTGCTGAACTTTCAGTTCCTCTGACTTGTTCACTGCACAGGTCACTGATTCTCTGATTGATCATGCTATTTTAGCTGACATGCAGACGCATGCTCCAGCTGCTGAAAAACAATTTTGGAAGACAAAAGGTGCCACTCTGTCGAGTAATGGTCTCTATGTTGTGAATAATAAGCCTATCCTGCCCAAATCTCTGTTCAAAGCTGCTGCCCTTTTGACACATGGGCCGTGTCATGTGTCAACAGGGGGGATGACTCATTTAATTCAGCAGCATTTCACAACATACAATCTTGAAACCTACCTAAAAATATCTGTAGGTCATGTGTAACCTGTGTAAAACATCATCCTCAGGGCAGTATGAGACCAAAAAGGGGACAGTTTCCCCAACCAAATCCTCCATTCCAAATATTACACATTGACTTAATCGAACTAATGCAAAGTGGACCCTACAAATACTGTTTAGTCATTATTGATGCTTTCTCTAAATGGGTTGAAATCATTCCAACAACTAAAAATGATGTTTTAACAGTGGCCAAAGCCTTATGCAAAAACATAGTTGCTAATCATGGCATTCCAGAAGTAATCTACTCAGACAATGGACCTCACTTTGTGAATGAGGTCATTCAGAACACGGCCACACATTTGGGTATCAAATTAAAGAATCATTGCGCATATCACCCCACTAGTGCCGGCCTCGTTGAGAGAAATAATGCTACCATAGAAAGCAGACTAAGGAAGTGTATGGAAGAAACGAAAAGGCCTTGGACTGAATGCATGGACTTAGTAAAACTTTACATGAGGATAACCCCAACCAACCTAGGACTAACTCCTTTTGAAATTATTTATGGGAGACCATACAAACTGCCCTTGGTTAACAAAGATTTGCAAAAAGCTGAAGAAGAGCTTACCCTGGCTGATTACATGAAAAATATTATTTTATCCAAAGAATCACAAGCTGCACATTCCTGGCCTGTTTCTCCTTCTGTTTTACAGGAATTCACAACTCCCATTAAGCCAGGAGACTGGGTCTTCATCAAGGTCATTAAGAGGAAAACCTGGATTAGTCCCAAGTGGGAAGGCCCATACCAAGTCCTGTTGGTCACTCCCACTGCTATGAAGATCGCTGAACGACCCACCTGGATTCATCTCTCCCATTGTAAAGTGCAGAGACAAGTGGATTAAGTGACCTAGTGGTCAAACTTCCTGAAAGGGAAAGCTATTCATCCAGTTGTTTTCTCTGCCATCACCATGAATCTTCTTAAATTACTATGCCTCGGGCTGCTCTGTTCTGCAGTGCTGTGGCTTCTAATGAGTTCAAACACCACCCCATCGCGTAATAAAAGACATACAATTGACATCCACACTGTCCATCGGAACACTTGGTTCCAGATGGTTAATTTAACTGCAAAACGATTAGGTTTAACACCAGTTGCTATGCTTGCTCTTGGATCCCTCATCGCTCCCAGGAAAATCCCACCATGGCTGCCATCCCCACAAGTATGAACGACTGTTTGTCTACTTCATGCCTATACCATTCAAAAGATAAAACTTGAGATGCCACAAGTAAAATGCACCACCCCACACTGCTGGTGCCCTCATCACCAAAACAGACACTGGACACGCCCCACTAACTATTCCACCTCTACAAACATCACAATTGCTCAGGGATTACACCTCCTTTGCCTTACAGGAAAAGATCCCTTCTGTTTTTCCATGACCTGTACAAATCAGGCCTTTCTCTTAGGAACCTCCATTTGTGATCATATCCTCCTACTTAACGGATGGAATCCTGTTGCTAAAAATTCACACTGGTTAACCACAAAACCCAACTTTCTTGGGATTCTCTATATAAATGTCACCCTCTTAAGCCTTGTAGTGACCGGTCAACCTTTCCATCCTCCATGGAACACACATGAACATTTTCTCGAAGTTCCCTCACCCTTTGGGATGGGGACCCCTGATGGATACATCTGGACACTCTCTTCCTCTACTTGCCCAACGATTGGTGTGGTACCTGTAGCTTGGCTCGACTACAACCTTCCTCCTACATCATCCCAGAGGAAGGGGAATCTCTGAAGACATCAGAGCTGAAGAAGAGAGTTCAAGCCTGTCCAGGCTTTCCGCCCATTCTCCAACAATGGCGGGTGCACCCCACTCTACAACGACGCAAAAGGAATCTTCTACACCATCATTCCAAACCTTGGCATAGCCGACCTGATGAAGCGTATGAACGAAGTCTGGTGGACCCTAGAGAACATCACTGCCATCCTGGAAGACATCACTGCCCTCCTGGCCGACGATCCAGAAAAACAAGCTATGAGGACCATGCTAATGCAACATCAAATCGCTCTGGACACCCTGTTTGCATCTGAAGGTGGTCTGTGTACGGTAATTTGGTGAACACTGCTGCACCTACCTCCCTTCTACACACGAGTCAAACGTTTAGGTGACTTCCTGAAGTCACAAGAGTCTACTGGAGAATCCTGAGACTTCATGAACTGGTTGACCACTGGAAGTTGGTATCAAATCCTGTTGAAATTTCTAACGCCTTTGATTGCAATTCTTCTCATGT